ACAATTATTAGAGGGGAGGATTGTAACTAAGTGAGTTAAACCTTTGGTAGTTGTTTAAAAAAAAGCTTTAAATTTTTTTTTTCTATTTCAGGCACTTGTGAGCTTTTCCGACTATCAGATTTTCCAGGAGCTCATCAAAGGCAAAGAGGAAGACTCTTTCCTTAAGAATTCTGTCTCTCAGATGTTGAGGATTGTCATGGAAGAGGGCTGCTCCACACAGAAGCAGGTCCTTAACTATCTGGGCGAGCGCTTCAGAGTGAAGCTCAGTCTCCCTGACTGGTACCCGAATGAGGAAGCTGCCAAGTTCCTGTTCAAGTATGTGTGCTTTGGGCTGGGAAGGGAGAGGGGGAAAGATGGGTTCATGCCTCGGAAGTGAGCCTGGGTAGCATGCTGTGGTCCTAGCCAGGAGGGCAGCTTTGCTTCTTTATTCCATGTTAATTTCAAGTTTGCTACAGTGTTCCACTAAGACAGTGAGCGCTGGAGGTCACCAATGTTGACATTTTGTTGGTTACAGTGATCACTTTGTCTCTGCATAGACACACATTGCCTCTCTGTATCTCTGAAAGTTGCAGACAACATGGGGCTATATTTCCCTGTAGCGACGACTCTCTTCCATAACCACATATTAAAGGAACTGAGTCCTAGATCACCCTGGCAGGAGCCGAGCACTTGCGACGTGGCCCGTGCGGCTGAGAAAGTGAAGTGTTGTTTTTAACTGAGCTGGAGTAGCTGCAGGTGTCACTGATTGCTCTCTATTGCTGAGCACAGCTGCAGACTTGGTGGCTATATCTGCTGCTGTAGCCAGCAAAGGTGAAGAACAGTTTTGGAAGAAATGTTAGGTAAACGTGAAGTAGGCGCCTTGGTCATTGAGCTGGACAGGAGAAGGCAGACTGCCTTAAGGTTTCTGTTTCTCTTTCAGCCAGTGCATTTGTATCCACCTGAAGTCTGATACTGAGAAGTTTTACCTGCTCTGTCTCATGACTCGGAAGCTCTTTGCTCTAGCCAGAGGCGAGTGTATGGAGGACAACCCCGATAGCTTAGTGAATCAGGAAGTCCTTACCCCCGGGCAGCTCTTCCTGATGTTTCTGAAGGTAAGTGTGCGCTGAGGATTCTAGTTTGGGCATCTTACATCACGTCCTTTTGTTCAGCAGTAAGGGACTTAATCAAAACTCTGGCTCCAGATTTCTGTGTCACCTGTACATATGTGGTCTTATGTTTCCATGTAAAACCTGAGGCTCTCAAATGAAAGGTAGGGTTTTTGTTTTTTTTTTTTTTTTTTAATGAGACTGACTTAGTTTTCTTTTTTTCCTTTTTAAAAAAAAAAAAATTGTTTTCAAGGCAGGATTTCTCTGTGTGTCCCTGGCTGTCCTGGAACTCACTCAGTAGACCAGGGCTGGCCTCGAACTCAAAAGATATCTGCCTGCCTCTTCCTCCCGAGTGCTGGGATTAAAGGTTTATACCACCACTGTCCAGCTGACTTAGCGTTCTTTTTTTTTTTTTTTAACATTTATTTACTTTATTATGTATACAATATTCTGTCTGTGTGTATACCTGCAGGCCAGAAGACGGCACCAGACTCCATTACAGATGGTTGTGAGCCACCATGTGGTTGCTGGGAATTGAACTCAGGACCTTTGGAAGAGCAGTAAGTGCTCTTAACCGCTGAGCCATCTCTCCAGCCCTGACTTAGCATTCTTAATATGATTTCAGTTAATGGACTTCTTCAGTTGAATCTACTTTCCTCCAAATTATAAAACTTCATTCCTTATAGCTAAAAAAAAAAGAAAATACCAAAAAACAAAAAACCCTTCTATTATGAATACATGCACTGTGTTTTCCTTATCCATTTCTCTTTGTTACCTGGGCTGGTTAATAACGTCTGTTCTGTAAGCAATGCTGCATTGGTATGCAAACATTGTTGTGCAAGAATTTTTGTGATACATTGATTTAATCCTTCAGGGTCACACAGAAGTTTTAATATTTAATAAATATTTTTATTTATTTTTATTTTATGTGTGTTGGTGTTTTGCCTGCATGTATGTCTGTTTGAGAGGTCGGGTCCCCTGAAACTGGAGTTACAGACAGTTGTGAGCTGCCATGTGGGTGTTGAGAATTGAACCTGGGTTCTTTGGAAGAGCACTCAGTGCCCTGAACTGCTGAGCCATCTCTCCAGCCCCAGGCCTATTTTTAATATTCTGAGGAACCGTTATACTTCCGTAATGGAGCGCTGGTTCACCTTCCCCTGCAGTGCACCAGGCTCCCCATCTGTCTGCGTCCTCTCCATGTCATTTCCTCAACTGCCATTCTGATGGGTGGCATAGAATCTCATCGTTGTTCCTGTTTGCGTTTCCCCAGTGACTGGTGACATTGACCGTTTCTTAATGTTTATCACCCATTTGTGCTTCACTTTCTGAAAACTGTCTCTGCTTTTAGCTCATTTATTGATTGGATTGTTGGCCTTTTTTTAAAAAATTGTATACTATATGCGTGTGCCTGTTATGTTGCGTGTGCATACATTCAGGCAGTTTCTTGTTTTTTTTCTTTTTTTAAATTGTTTTTATTGAGCTATGTATTTTTCTCTGCTCTCCTCCCTGTCTCTCCCCTCTCCTTCAGTCAATCCTCTTCCATGATTCCCAAGCTCCCAATTTACTCAGGAGATCTTGTCTTTCTCTACTTTCCATGTAGGTTAGATCCATGTATGTCTCTCTTAGGGTCCTCATTGTTGTCTAGGTTCTCTGGGGTTGTGAATTGTAGGCTGGTTTTTCTTTGCTTTATGTCTAAAAGCTCCTGGAGGGCAAGCCCACAATCCGGATCCCATGTCCCAGATTTTGTGACCTCTGCAAGAGCAGTGCTCACTCTTAACCACGGAGCAATCTCTCCAGCCCCTGTAACAAGTCTTTCTCTGTCCCACCAGCTAACTAGCTCCCAAATAAAAACACAGAGACTTATTCATATGAAAGCTTGGCCTTAGCTTCGGCCTGTGTCTAATTAGCTCTTAGAGCTTGAATTAATGTGTTTCTATTGATCTGTGTGCTGCCGTGTGGTTGTGACTTTTACCTCTTCTCCTGCATGTCTTGCTTCCTCTGCGTCTGGCTGGCAACTCCCCCTTTCTTCTTCCCAGAGCTGTCTGTCTAAAAGTCCCACCTATACCTTCTCCCTAGCTATTGGCCATTTAGCTTTTCATTAAACACAGTAACCTATCTTTACACAGTGTAATCAAATCAACGAGCCCCTGATGTAGACTTCCTGTCTCTGTCTTTAAGAATGCTAGACTTTCAGTTGTACATTGAAGGGCTGTCTTTTACAGCCCTGGTTGGGCTAAAGATGCATCCTTTGCCGCATGTATAAACAGTGGGCCTTTATACTAGATTGTGTGGGGGTAGATGTAGCATTTATGATATTTAAAGCATGTACTACTTTAAATTTAACATTTTCTTCTTTTAGGAAAAAATGGAAAATTGGCTAGTGTCTATTAAGATAGCTTTAGATAAGAGGGCTCAGAAGACCAATGTATCCATAAACAGTGAGAATTTGCTGAAGATATTTAGTATGGGATCAGAACTAACGAAACCATTTGAATATCTTCTTGCTACTGGGAATCTGCGTTCGAAAACAGGTAAATAAATATGTTGCTACTGAATTCCAGAGTAAGCTAACCCTCACTAAAGTCAGATTTTATATTATAGTAAATTTTGACAAATGTCTGCCAACTTAAAGGGTTCAGTGAGGTGTCTTGCTTTTGTAAATCCAGCGCTAGTGAACAGACACATTCCGTGACTCCTGGAAAGCGGTGACCGCGTATGTCTGTCTGGACATACAGACAGACTGCATATGTCTGTCTGGGCAGATCTACAGCTGCAGCCTAGAAGGGTTTGGATTTGTGTCCTTCCCTAAACCTCTTGTATTAGAATGAACTGAAAAAATAAGAAAGGTTAACTGGGATCCAGAAACCTGCTTTTCTGTTTGGACAGATGCTACTGATTTTTCTCGTTAGCATGCCAGCAAGTGCTTATGCAATGGCAGGGCTCTCAGACCAATCTAATTTGATTTTTTTCCATTTATCAGAACTAATATTCCATGTTGCAAATGTGTGTTGGGAGGGGAGGTTGTACTGGGGAATTGAACCCAGGGCCCGCTCATATATTAGACAAATGCTCTTACCCCTGAGCCATATCCATAGCCCTGAAGCTTCAGAAACAGACAGTTTGGGGCTTTTAAAAAAGGCTTTGGCTTGATTTGAGTGCCTTTTTCTTTATTCAGGTCTGGGCTTCCTGCAAGACTCTGGCCTGTGTGTTGTGGCTGACAAGCTGAACTTCATCCGCTATCTCTCCCATTTCCGCTGCGTGCACAGAGGGGCTGACTTTGCCAAGATGAGGACCACCACAGTGCGCAGGCTGCTCCCAGAGTCCTGGGGCTTCCTCTGTCCTGTGCACACCCCAGACGGAGCACCGTGTGGGCTGCTGAACCACCTGACTGCCACATGCGAGGTTGTCACGAAGTTCGTGTACACTGCATCTGTCCCGGCCTTGCTCTGTGGCTTAGGTAGGACACTGGACAGTCCAGCTGGCTTTGCTGGCTTTGTACAGCCTCAAGCAGCAAAGTCTCCCTTTGGGATTCAGCAGAGAATTCCTTTTCAGTCCTCCATGCTGCGTCAGGCTGCGTCCTTGGCTTCTCATGCATTTCTGGAGCTAAAATCAGCAAAATGTCATCAGTGTTGATAATAGAAAGATGTGAATGAGAATAGCTATTAGTATTCAGAGTTTAGATGCTGTTGTGTAAATTTCTGGGTCACTCTCCTGTGCCCCTGGTAGGTCTTTGCATTTCTAAGTAGGAAACTGTTGGTTTGGGGAAAATCAGTTAAAAAGTAGCTTATGCGATATAGCTGATACATAGATCCAGTGACCTTTGTTCCTGGTGATTTACAGCTGTTGTCTCTACTTTGGGGGAAACCTCAATCATATTGATTTCCGGGCTTTGGTAGTTAGTTTGAGTTTTCTTTCACAGTTAAAGATAGCATCTTTTTGTTAAGTTTTTTTTTTTTTAAGGGGTCATGCTAATCTTCTCTGTATTGTACCAATTTTAATATATGAGCTGCCAGGGCTGGAGAGATGGCTCAGTGGTTAAGAGCATTGCCTGCTCTTCCAAAGGTCCTGAGTTCAATTCCCAGCAACTACATGGTGGCTCACAACCATCTGTAATGAGGTCTGGTGCCCTCTTCTGGCCTGCAGACATACACGCAGACAGAATATGTATACATAATAAATAAATTAAAAAAAAAATATATGAGCTGCCAAAGTGAGCGCTTGTTTGATATTTTATAACAGTTTAGTCCTGGGGTTTTTCAGTTGTGATTTAAAAGCCACAGTTTTATATCTTTGTTGGTGTGTGGTGTGGTCACCAGTGGACTGAGGTGGATGAGATGCAGCTTAGGACTTCTCTAGGGGTCAGGTGATAGATTGGTGCTTCTATCAAATAAATCTAACATTGAGTCAAGAACTTGTTATGTAGAATGTGAACGCCCAACTGGAAAATAGCATTAGATAGGAACATTAGAAAAATTGATAAAGAAATGACAGTCAAGATTCCGGAGATATAAACAATCTGTCCATTTGCTGACAGCGAGGCAAAGAATACTTTTGTCCTATTGTTAATTAAAATCAAACAAAGCATAGTGACACATACCCGCAACCCTAGCCCTTGGGTGGTGGAGGCAGGAGGATCAGAAGTTCCTATCCTCAGCTACATAAGAAGTTTGAGGTCAGCCTGGGTTGCAGGAAACCTTGTCTCAAAGTCTGGAAGGAAATGGAGAAAAGGTTAGAGCAGTAGAAAGTGCCTCCCACTGTGGAGGAAGAGAGGGCTCTGAGGAAAAGTCACTAGCCCTGGAGGGCTGGTGTGACAGACAAGCCCTAAGTGGTGACCTTTGACACCTGGGAAATACAGGCTGTTTTCACTTGGCAGTTATGATGTGTGCAGGCCTCGTTTTTCACTCAATGAGTTGGTCCTCATTATTTGCAGCCCTGTATTGTGTTAACTGGCAGTACTGTTAGCCCGTCCTGAGCCATTGCTGGGGGGAGAGTGGTTGTAGGCCCCATTTCTCTCAAGTCTAACCTTGAACTCTGAGTCAGCAGCCTCAGCTTGTCTGACTTCCTCTATGAGGTCTGTGACAGCCACTCTGCACTAGGTATTTGCATGGCCTGGGACTGCACTTGGAGCATGGAGACGAGACGGCAGAGCATGTGCACCAGGAAACACACGTTTCTGCCGTGTGACCTTGGAAGTGCCCATAGTATGATTCTGTGGTTACACAGATCAAATGTCCAAGCAGGCAAATGTCCAAACGTGGAGTCTGCAGATAAGGAGGATCAACAATAATTGGATTTTACTTGGGCAAGGGTATTCGGGCTATAAGATTTAGCAATCAGTGTATGGAAAGGGATTTTGTGCAAACCTCCCTACCTCCCTTCTCTCAGATCCTTTTCTAGATTCTCTATGGCCTTGATGAAGCAGTTTATAAGCAGTATGGAAGCTTCTGTGCTGTACAGACTGCAACATGAATTCTAATTGGTCTTATAATAAAAACCTGGAGTCAGGATATCAGGGTGTGGAAGCTGAAGGATCAGAGAAGCAGAGCAGTCAGCCACTAGAGAGTTTTCTCCTCTACCACTGCTCAGACCAAAGGAGTCTGCGAATCCTCAGACTGCTGCTGTCTCTGAAACCTCAAACTACATCTGAATGATGCAGTATGAATCCTCAGACTGCCCTGAGTTCCTGTCTCCTCCCGCCTTATATTCCTCTCTCTACCCATCCATATCACTTTTTTCTCCACCTTCCTAGCGCTGGGATTAAAGGCATTTGATCCCAAAGGCTGGAATCATCTTCTGGTTTCTCTTTTAGACAGAGTCAGTTTCACGCAGCTCAGGGTGACCTTGAACTGCCTCTGAGAGTACTGGGATTCAGGTGTGCGCCACCACTGCCTGGCTTCTGTGGCTGACTAGTGACCTAGCTCTGCACTCTGACCTTCAGAGCACAAACAAATTGTCACTACAACAGAGAGGACAATTGGCCAGCCACACTGAGAAAGCAGTCCCAGTGTCTCCTGGAGCTGGAAATGTTGGATGAAGCCTTCTGATTTTATTATTCTGCTTGTCCCCTCCCAGGTGTCACTCCTGTTGATGCGGCATCTTGTCGACCATACAGTGACTGCTACCCTGTCCTGCTGGATGGTGTCATGGTGGGCTGGGTGGATAAGGATCTTGCTCCTGAGGTGGCAGACGCTCTCCGTCGCTTTAAGGTGATCGTCGGTCTCTTGATTGCCTTATCTCCTGACTTCTGGTGTTCAGTCCTCTCTTGGTTGATGAGGTGTACGCGCTGGTTTAGAGTGATCATGCAGTTGGGATTGAAGCTAATTCCGGAAGTACCTGACTCTTGCTTGCTCTGGTAGTCTTGCCTTCTATGTTGGGTCAGTGACAGACATGTGACCTATAATTATTTATTAGGTGTTTCATTGAGGTCCCTGTCTGCTTATCTATCCAGTGTGACTTCATAGGAGTACCACCAGCTGGCTGCTTCCCAGCTGAGCCTCTTGTTTGTCCTTGCTAACCTGGACCTCTTAGGTTGGTGTCAGGCTAGAGTTTCTCAGGGGTAATTTGTGGAGAGAGAGTTGAAAGCTATGCGATGGTTCCTTTCCTTGGCTAACTTCACCCACTGATTGATGGTTCCCTGCTGAGTTATTCCCGCCCCATTGGCTATCTTTGCTAAATGATTGTGACTGTGGTGGATGTCCTGCACACACTCTGTAGTCCACACGGGCCTCGGCCATCCTCCCTTAGCCCAGTCAGAATTCTATTTTTTTTTTTTTAAGATTTTATTATGTAAACAGTGTTCTGCCTGCATGCCAGAAGAGGGCACCAGATCTAATAGACGGTTGTTGGGAACTGAACTCAGGACCTCTGGAAGAGCAGCCAGTGCTCTTAACCTCTGGGCCATCTCTCCAGCTCCCTCAGAATTTTTTATTCTACTCTTTTTATTTAAAAAAAATTATTTATTTATTTTATATATGAGTACTTTATCTGCATGTACGACTTTATGCCAGAAGAGGGCGCCAGGTCTCACTATGGATGGTTGTGAGCCACCATGCGGTTGCTGGGGATTGAACTCAGGACCTCTGGTGGAGCAGCCAATGCTCTTAACCTCTGAGCTACTTCTTCAGCCCCTATTCTACTCTTCTTAAGCTTCTACCTCTACTGAGGTCTGTTTTGGTGAGCTGAATATTTTTATCTTGGTTTTATGTGCCAATGATTTTTAAATTTTTCTTTCTGTATTTGGCTTTCTTTTATCAGTTCTTTATTAACGTGAATGTTAATTCAGTTTGGGGCCAGCAAGTTGACTCAGTTGGGTACAGGCACTTTACTGTCAGTCCTAGAGACCTGAGTTCAATCCCCAGACCCTTCAAGGTCACAGGAAAGAGCTGACTGCTGAGGCTCTCCTGGACCAGTACACAGGCACACAATGAATCAGTTAACAGCGGATTCAAGGGCCCCAAGAAATAGCTCAGTTTAGAGCTCTGTCCCTTCTCATTGTCCTTTCCGGGCTCCTCCCTCCCCTTTCATTTTTGCTGATACTGTGTAGCTGTGAATCCCTTAATTGTATATAGGTCTTATAATCTTTTTTAGATTATTGTAGCTTGAATTTATATTTCTCCCTTCACTTAGAAATTTTTAAAAATGGTTTAAAAGATTTTTTTGTTTGTTTGTTTTTTGTTTTTTCAAGACAGTGTTTCTCTGTATAACAGCCCTGGCTGTCCTGGAGCTAGCTCTTGTAGACCAGGCTGGCTTCGAACTCACAGAGATCCCCCTGCCTCTGCCTTCCAAGTGCTGGGATTAAAGGCGTGCGCCACCACTGCCCTGAAAGACTTTTTTTATGTATGCATGCAATACCTGTGAAGGCCAGAGGAGGGCACGGGATCCCTGGGAGTGGAGTTCTCAGCGCGTGTAAGCCACTTGACATGGGTGCTGAGAACTGAACCCCAGCTTTTAAAAGTGAGTGCAGTGTCTGCTGTGTCTCCCTACTGTGTAGCCAACTCAGCATCCCCGTTTGCTTTGTTTTGTTCTTTTTAATTTTCAAAAGAAAGACCCTTTTCATGTAACTGTTTGAAAGGAAATTCATTAATCTATATTTCAGACATCAGAGAATAAACTTGCCTTTTCTTAATCTTTTGCCGTTTCTCAAGTAGGCTGAGGGGCCTTCTATGCGGGGTAAGACTGGAGCGGACAGCTGTGGTCTTGGAACACCAGGTTTACTACTAGAGTGACGGAATTTCTTAGATGCTGCTCCTTTCCCATTCTACCTGGCTCTGGTGGCAGGGAGGGCGGAGTAAAACATACGTTTGTTCTTCATTAAACTCTGTTCTGCTGAAACAGGTGTTGAGGGAGAAAAGAATTCCTCCCTGGATGGAGGTGGCCCTGGTCCCCATGACAGGAAAGCCAAGCCTGTACCCAGGGTTGTACCTCTTCACCACCCCCTGCAGGCTGGTGAGGCCTGTGCAGAACTTGGACCTGGGCAAAGAAGAACTCATTGGAACGATGGAGCAGGTGGGTGCCTACCGCAGCGTGTGCTTATGTCGGACAGTCGGACAGTTTCCGGGGCTCGCTTTCACTCTCAGGAGCATTGACAGAAAATCCAGCTGTTTTTCTGGTGCTCTTTGTCCAGCACTAAGTAGTTTTGTTGTTGGTGGTGTTTTTTTTTTCCCCTTTTGGTTTTTCGAGACAGGCTTTCTCTGTGTAGCTTTGATGCCTGCCCTAGAGCTCGCTCTGTTGACCAGGCTAGCCTTGAACTCACAGAGATCCACCTGCCTCTGCTTCCCAAAGCTGGGATTAAAGGTGTGTGCCGCCACCCCACCCCCACCCACACTGCACTACGTAGTTTTGAAGTCTTGCCACACTGCTAGGAAACGGAGGGAGGCTTGATGCTCACATAACTGCCCTTCCTTCCTGCCCAGTGTTCATGGTTCCTTTGCACCTGTCTCTGTCACAGTTGGTGACACTGAGGCATCCCTGTCTCTGTCTCATTTGTCATCTACATCTTTGCCAAACTAGAGTTTGTAC